GGGAGGGAAGGGGAGAGGGGTCATGTTAGCTGGGAGGATCAGGAAAGGGTAGAGACCCATTGAAGAGAGGGATGGATCCATCAAATGCTCAGGATGAGAGAACAGCAAAAACCAAGGTCCTAGGGCAGGAGTCTGCTTGGTAGATTCAGGAAAAGGCTGGGAAAGAGCTGGGTGGAGGGAGCAGGGGAAAGAGCTCACTGTGTCCCTCAGCCTATCTGTTTGTGGATTCTGATCTCCCACCAAGCTGTGTGCATCTCCAACCTTTGTATCACTGGATACTGGGTCAGGAGGTCATGAAATAGGCTCTATGTATGTTTATCAAATAAAGAAAAATTCATTATTAGCCACGTCTGGCCCCCTCCATCAGTAAATGAGAATATCAATATTTTAGGCTCAGTTGTTCACTCTCTAGTTTTATACAAAACCCAACTGAGAGAGCTGGTATTTATAGAGCTCTCCTAAGGCTTTGTTTTTATAAAAAAATATAGTCTGCAGGCCCCCAAGGAGGACTGTCCAGATGGGCCACCCATTGATAAGAACAATGCAAATCCTTGGCTTGGTTCTTCTAAGTGAGTGGAAACAAGTCCCTAGAGTGTCATTATGATGTGCGACTGCTTCCTTGCAGTCAGGGGTTACCAAAATTAGTGCTTTGCTAGTGTTTCCTGGGGACAAATTCAACGTTTAGCCAGGGACCTGACTGCCAAACCTGCTTGCTGGCCTTGCCATCTCCGGCTGTGCGTGCCCACACCCTGGAGCTGCAGAGCCTGCCAAGTTTCAGCGGGAAGCTTTGTTACTGTCGCATCATCAGTGCTGTTTACAGGGGATCATGGCTTTCCCTTGCAGTTTTCTTGCATTTCAATGATAACATTCTGCTTTTGTTCCTTCTTTGCAATCTGGTTTGTTAGCCCCGAAGGCTGTGTTAGGGAATGTGTCACAAGACAGTTTCCTATGACTTAGGTTTCTAAGTTGTGTGTTGGGTTTTGGGGATAATTGCTGCTTTGGCCTGTCTGCCTTCCCTTCTGCTTTTCATATAGGAATGGGGATGCTCTTTCCCTTTGGAGACCTCCTCCCCAACTCCCCCAAGGACTTGGTTGGGCTATGTATCTTAGAATCTTGCTTCCTCTGCCTCCCTCTTTACCTGTGCCCCAAAGGGGGCACAGCTAGCCAAATTAGCTGAGAAAAGCATTTGCCTCCTCTGGTCACAGAGACCCCTGCATTCAGGGTTCTTGTTTATGAATTGGCAAGTTGATATTCATTAAAAGATTGGGCTGGGTGCGGTGACACACACCTGTCATCCCAGTTACTTTGGAGGCTGCATGCAACAGGACGATTGCAGTTCGAGGCCAGCCTCCACAATTTAGTGAATCCCTGTCTCAAAATTTTAAAAAAGGGCTGGAATGTGACTCAGAGGTAGATTTTCTGCGTAGCATGCATGAGGTCCTTGTTTCAGTCTCTAGTACCTCAAAAAAAAAAAAAAAAAAAAAAGAAAAGAAAAGAAAGACACAAAAAAGAAAAAAGAGTGGGCTGTGTTCTCTCACACAATGGTTCTCTCACTCAAATCCCACGCTTTTTAATTATCTTTTTAATATACTAAAAGAAAACTCATCAATAATGTGCATGCCATTTAAAAAGTTAACAATACAAAAGAGAAATAAAATAGCTTATAATAACATAAAATCAGTTATGAAAATAATATATAAAAAATAATAGTTGCCATGTGAGGTGGTGCACGCCTGTAATCCCAGTGGCTCCGAGCGAGGCAGAGGCAGGAGGATTACAAGTTCAAAGCCAGCCTCAGTAATTTAGTGAGCTGCTAAGCAACTAACTCAGTGAGACCCTGTCTCTAAATAAAATACAAAAGTAGGACTGGGATGAGGCTCAGTGGTCAAGTGCTCCTAAGTTCAATCCCCAGCACCCCCCCAACAAATAATAATAATAATGCATCAATGTGTAGATGCAGGCCTATGCTAGAAGACACAATTAAGGAGTCAGACACTTGCTCTAAATGTGTAGAATCTCCATGACTAGGATGGGGGCAGAAGAGATATGTGTAGGTGTGCTGTATGACTCTTCAGCACCACAGGGACATTATCATCAGTAATAAGATTTCTGAAAACATAGAATAGCAAAATACCTTTGGGAACACTGTAGGCAAAATAAAATACAGTTTCCCCTTGCTTTACACATGGTAATATGATGGCCAATTCAGTGTATCTTAAAACATGCAAGAAAATACTTTGATTATACACAAAATAGGGTTAAGCCTAGAATCAGTTATAAATAGGCTTTCCACCCAAATAAAGTCCAATAGGGCATTAGCAGTTTATTTGGGACACCGGACAATTCTTCTTTGTATAGGACAATTCTTTGCAGCACGTCAAGCATTAAATTCATGCAGTCGTTCCCCATCGTTATTGTGACAACCAAAACCGTCCTTACAAATTTCCTAGATGATAACTAGGGGGCGCTACTAACCATCCAGGGCTCCCATTAAGAAGCACTGTCCTGGGAGTATTAGCTGTAAGGGCCACAGGCTGGAGCTGCTTCCAGTCATCTTCCTGAGCCTAGTGAAGGCAGTCCTTGGTAGACATGAATGAAGCCAATAGAGAGAGGAAGGCAGAACTGAGCGGTGGCAAGAGAGAGGCAGCTCCTGGGTCATGAATGCCTGAAGTCAGATAACATCTGTATTTCATGAGCATTTAATTTCCTTTTTGCTTGAGTTATATTGAGTTCAGTTTCTGACATACATGACTGAAAAAAGAATCAATCTAATACATAGTTCAAAAGGCAGTTGGACATATCATTTAATTTTTTTTCCTTGTTAAATGATTTTTACTATGTCAAAAGACAAAATTACAGCAAATTTAGTTAAAGATCTTAGTTGGCTCTTACTTGCCGTTCTAGAATTGGGCAACACCTCTTCTGTGAAATAGAGGGTTTCAGTGAGCTGATCAAAAGAGGTTGGTTTTATAGACAGGGGAGGCTGAGGAAAGCAGAAACAGAACAAAAAGCAGACAGGTTGTTTCAGAGTTATTTTTCTTTTAAGGTTAAAGCAGAGGGAGCACCAGCTAAAATGGCTTGTTGGGTGTTTGGCTATTCTCTCTCTGTCTTTCTGATTTCTTGGAAGATTTTGGTGTGGTGACTCCATTTTGGTTTGACCAGTTGACCCTAGTGGAGGCACTCAGTCCAAAACAAGGGTCTTCTATAAATTTTATTTAATAATTATTACTATTGATTTAAAAAAAAAATCAGGACAGAGGCATTAGAGCAGAGAAGTGATCTCCAGGTTGATATGTCCCAGTAGGTCAGAGTCAGGAAAGCCTATGAGCAAAAGATTCACCTTTTCTTTTTCCCACAGACACACACACAGAGGTCCTAGCAGGCATATCCATATGATAGGGCCACGTTCTCTGAGCACAGCTCATTGCTCCAGGGATGGACCAAATTCTCTTTCCCAGAAACTTCAAACCAGGGCCTCCATGAGCTCCATGGCTGGGATTGCTACAAGAAAGGTGAAAACCAGGGTGCCATCAGAGATGGGATTTCTGAAACATAAAAACATCAAACATCTCAGACAAAAGAAAATACATTTTTCCCTCATGTTACACATGGTAACATCAAGGACAATTCAGTGTGTTCTAAAATTGTACAAGAAATGCTTGGTTTACGTAGACGAGGGGAACAGCGTTGACTTGCCTGGATTCCACCAGATGATTTAGGGAAATAGGGAAAGCTGAGCTACAGATACACAGAAAGAGGAAAAGAAAAAGAGAGAGTTTTAGCAACTTTCCAGTTCCATGACTTATTCCTTCTCTAGTCCCAACTGTATCCTGGCTGCAGTTCTTCAGGGACCCCTGGGTCAGGGAGCACATTTCCCCTCTTTGTTTCTGACTTGCCTCTAAAGAGTTGTGAGTTAACACCTTATTATTCCTAGAGGCATTCCAAATTCTCCAGTTGCATCAAACTAGGTCAACTTAGATCAGAGGCGCTCACAGCCTGGGAGGTGAGATCTACTGTGTTTCAGGGGCTGACCAGTTCTCCAGGCACAACAGGCAATATTCCTGGATTTGAGTTTTAATCAGAAATTCTGACAAAGCACAGGTGATAGAAAGGGGGAGGATCTAATTTTCAAAGTTGTAATCCAGGGGAGAGCTGCCCTTGGCTAAAGAGTCAACTAGTTCAAGGTTTTGGGAGAGAACTGGAGTCTCAGGCCTCATTCCATAGCTTCTGTCAAGAGACACCTTTTCCTGGGTTTGCTGATAAAGTCCATGTCCCAAATTCCACACTTGTGAAGTGGCTCTCTTGACTTAGGCTCTATCTACTGACCTCCCAAGGGACAATGCAATGGAAACTGAAGGGGGTGGGGTGCAGAGGACTTGCCCAAGGCCACACCAATCAGTTCATCTGGGGGAAAAGCCCCAGCACCTGCCCTTTATTTAAAGTTCGTGTAGTATTTTCTCTCAAGTTTGTGAGCTGCTGTTGAGGGAGGGAGAGACAAATGGACAGAAAGACAGAGAGGGGGGGGGGGAGGGAGAGAGGGAGCTTTGGAAGCAAAGCTTGAGCACCCACGTGGCTCTGCTGCTTCCATGATTTAAGGAAATCAGGAAAGCTGAGCTGCAGATTTATAGAAAGAGGAAAAGAGAAAGGGAGAGTTTTAGAAACTATGTCATCTTAAGCAAAAAAATTTTTTTCTGAGCCTCAGTTTATTCTTTAAAATGGGCACATTTTAAAAGATTTCCAGAAAGTGGAATGACATAGTGAAATGCTGCACAAAGGTGAGTGTTGAGCCCGGAGGAGTCCCCCTCTGCAAAAACAGGAGTGCTTCAGGTCACCTGTCGCCAGTCTGTTTCTCTGAAACTCTCTCAAACCTGTGGTTTTTCTGGCCCATCCTCGGGCTACACCACCTTCTCCTCTACCAGGCCTTTGTCTGGCTAATCCAGGCTCCCACTTCAGGCCTCCGCTAAGGGTCCCTAGTGCAGGTGAGTTTTCCCGGTCCCCAGACACCCCACCATGCCTGTGCTCTGCGCTCTGTGTCCGCCCTCCACAGTGCACTCCTGCAGAACTTGAGCTTCCCCTGGAGACTGGGTAAGCACTGGGACAACATCTGGCACCTCCACTGTAGCCCCCACAGCCCAGGCACAGTGCCAGGTGCACAGAAGAAATCTGCTCCATGTGCCCCTTCTCCCATCTTGGCTGAAGATCAGGCCACCTTGCCTGGACAGCTGACTGCCAAGCCACCAGCTCAACCTTGTTCCTACAACTCCCTGACTAGAGATGCGGAAAAGCTGGTTGTCCCCAAGTTCATGTTTGTTTATGGGAATCAAAGTGTGATCGCTGAATGGTAAAACAGGCTCAGCGGGAGGGACTTACTTACCCAAGCAGGGTATTGTCTGCAGTGCACGGGGCAGGGCTGGAAATGCCCTTCCTTTGTCTCCCCGTCATGGAGCAAGGCCCTCATGTCTGCTGAAGAAACAAAATCCTTTTTATGTGAACCCTCAAATGATGGGGCTGCCAGGGGCAGGGAGGGCCCTGCTCCAACTACTTCTGACTGATCCCTTCTGCAGAGCTGAGAGGCACACTGCTGGAATTCGTGTAGTCCCCTTCCTCTTGAGGAAGAGCAGCCAAAAAGAATCAAAAGCAGAAACAAAACAACTTCTCCGAAAAGGCATGCTGCAAATGCCCGTGCTCTCAGAGAAGGGCTGGCTGGGTCATTGCCAGTAGTACTGTGGAGAAGAGGACCACTCAGGTCTCTTGACTCTCAAACACGGAGATACTGCTCATTGACAGTTATGTGTTCCTGGTTTCCATTGATCTCTTTTTGAAAGAAGTCAAAAGCACATTTAAAAAACATTAGACCAACTGTGTTAGGATACTCTATTTTTGAAACAGAAAACAAATTCATAGTTGGAAACATTCTGCAGCCAACAGATGTGGTAGAGTGGACTTAAACATCTGGGGGACAGTGTAGGTGTGGGAGTGTGGCAGTCAGAGCATGGATGCTGCAGATTCATGGGACAAATGAATCACTCCCCATCACTCTGCACCTCTGCCCATACATGTATTGCCAAGTAATTGTAGCAGTTTAGCACTTGAGAATGTCAGCTCTAGAACAAATCTGGCTGGGCTTGGATCTTGGATCTGTCACTTAACAGATGCATGACCTTGGGCAGGTTCCTCAACCACACAGTGCCTCAGTCAGATATCAGTAAAGTAGGAGCAGAAGTGCACCTACCTCATGCCACAGGGTTGGTTGGGCAATTAAATGACTCAATATACAAAGTCTCCCCATTTTTGATAGTTTGACTTGATGATTTTGTAACTTTACTATGGAACAAAAGTAACATGCATTCTGTAGAAGTTGTACTTCAAATTTTTTGAATTTTGATTTTTGCTTGTTTGTTGTCTCTGGGATTGAACCCAGGGCCACTTAACCACTGAGCCACATCCCCAGCCCCTTTTTATATTTTATCTATAGACAGGGTCTCACTAAGTTGCTGAGGCTGGCTTTGAACTCACGAACCTCCTGCCTCAGCCTCTTCAGCTGTTGAGATTACAAATGTGTGTCGCTGCACCCAGCTGAATTCTGATGCTTCCATTGACTATCAACATGCTATCCAATTTTCTCTGGACATGCTGGGGGTAGCAATGAGCCGCAGCTCCCCGGAAGCCAGAGATGCTGATGGGAAATGGTGAATGCTCCATGGTGTGTTGTGTGTGAGTGGCCCAAACTTAAGTGCTGGGGAAATAATAACTCTTAAGCCAAAGTATGGATACAGCCCAAATATGTCTATCAGTATATAAATAGATAAAGTTATTGTGGTATAGACACACAGTGGAATACTACTGTGTGTGAAAAGAGATAAAATCATTAAAATAAATGCAATACTACTCAGCCAAATATATATATTTGAGGAACCTGCCCAAGGTTATTCATATGTGTGTGTGTGTGTGTTTGTGTGTGTGTGTGTGCGCGCGCGCGATAACCACACACAGCAGACTGGATGAATTCAAAATAACTCTGCTAAGAAAAAGAGAGTAGACAACAAAGTACATGCCATATGAATCTATTCTATAGAGTTCCTAAAAATGCAAACTAATCCTGGGGAAAGAAAGCAGATGAGTGGTTGCTGGGGCAGAGGGAGGCAGGGAGAGATGGGAGGAAAAGATTGCAGAGGGGCAGGAGGTAACTTTTGGGGGTGATCAATATGTTCCCCATTTTTAATTGTGATGATGGTTTTATAGGTATATGTATGTGCAAAACTTACCAAATTGTACACTTCAAGTGTGTGTGATTTATAACTCCATGACTAAGAAAAACAAAAAAGAAATATTAGCTGTTCCTATTTCCTACTAACTCCATCCTTCTTAACGCAGTGCCCCAGCTGGGGGCTCTCTGGATCAGAGTCAACCCTCGATATTCTAGGAATATTTGTTATCCCTGATTAACATGAACTTTTTGATTGTCTTTCACTTACAAAAGTTTATGAGTCTATCAATTACCAGTCCTCAGAACCCCTCTGGGCCTCAGCGTTTTCCATCAGTAATCTAGAATTATAATACTTAACCTGCCTCTCTGGGCTCCTGAAGGTTGAATGCAGAAATGTTCATCAAAGTGCTCCAAAAAAACTGGACCAAGTCAAGCAAGTGGATGGTAAATGGGATGGTCCAGGCTCTCTTGGCTTGAATATCTGATGTGTGGGCCAGTTCTTGAAGGGCCAGCAGAACTGGACCCCAGTGCTTCTTCTTTTTTTAAAATTTGTTCTAATTAGCTATACATGACAGAAGAATGCATTTTGATTTATACAAATGGAGCACAACTTTTTCGTTTCTCTGGTTGGATACAATGTAGAATTGTACCATATGTGCAGTCATACATGTATCTAGGGTAATGATGTCCTTTTCATTCAACCATCTTTCCTCCCCTGCGCCCCTTCCCTGTCTTCCTCTTTGCCCAATTAAAGTTCCTCCATTCTCCACCCCCCCGCCCCGACACACACATAATGGATCAGCATTCACTTACCAGAAAGAATATTTGGTCTTTGGTATCTTGGGATTGGTTTATTCTCTTAGCATGATATTCTCCAACTCTATCCATTTACCTGCAAATGCCATAATTTTATTATCTTTTAATGCTTAGTAATATTCCATTGTGTGTGTGTA